CCAGCCCCAGTCCCTGTGAATGGCAGCCCCATTCTCATACATATCAACTATTAACCCCAATCTGGTGCAAGCATAAGAGCACATTCTATCATCTTCTCAAGATGAACCCCTGCAGTACCCCACTGTTACCAGCCTCCCTAAATGACACATTAACCACTACTTTCTGAGTCCAACCATCCAGCCAGTCTTTTGTTTATCTAGTTCTCCATCCACACAGACTAATAACCAAATCTGGACACAAGAGTACTGTTGGAGACAGAGCTGACAGCCTTACAAGTTAAATGAAACCCACTGCTCTTCCCTCATCTGAAACTTCAGCCATCTTACGTGGAAGGCAATCAGGCTAGTCATGCATGATTTACCTTTGATAAATCCATGCCAATTGTTCCCAATCATTCCCTTCTTCTTGTGCCCAGAAATACGTTCCAAGAACACCAATGACCTATTTTCCCTGGGACAACAAGGAAGCCAGCCAGCTCTGTAGCAAGTTGGACTGTGTTTTGGCCTTTTTTGAACGGTGCAATGTATGCCTTTCTCCAGTCATCAGGAAGCTCTCCTGATAACGAGTATGTTTCAAAGATGATGGGGAGGGACCTCAATGTGACTGTGGCCAGCTCTTCCAACATCTCAGTCTATCTGGCCCCATCGTCTTGTATGATTTGAGCTCTCGATAATCTGTGACTTAAACATTCCTACATGAAGGGATGCAAGAATTGTTTCTTCTAATACTTTAGTAGTAAAATGTGTTCCCACCCATGCCAGGGGGTGGGATCTAGATGATCTTTAAGGTCCCTTCCAACCCACACCATTCTATCATTCTGTGATGGTTCTATGAATCTCCCCGCGCAGCACTTCTGGATCTCAGATAAGAAGCCCTTTAGCAAGAAATTAAGTGTTTACAGTAGGAAAATAGGACTGTGATAAAAATTTCAGAATAAGGCAAAACAGATAAGGACAAGAAGATATTTAAGTAGATATCACAGAAGGAATACGCACGAAAAAAATCAGCTTTCACCGGAACATGCTTATTCCCAGAGCCTGGAACAGAACCCAAGATTCTGGAGTTTCATCACTATTTTGAAATGCTTAAAAATCACAGAAAACCAGTCACAGGCCATATCATTTGGACCACACCTTAATTAAAAATTACTAGTATCACATTCTCTGCTACCTCAAGTGGCATAAGTCTCACGGCAAAAGACACAGATTTCAGCCTTTCTGAAGACTTCCATGCTATAATGCAATCCCGCATGATAGAAGGTTTCCTCCTGTCCATCAGGGTTGCTGCCATTTTTAATCTAGCATGTTGAACATTTTGTTTATGTGCAATGAATTTTATTTTCAACAGGTAAGTACCAAAAATCTCTCAGTTTAAAAAAAACCATACCATATTATAGTCACATCACAACAATCAAAGGTTATTTGATCCTGTTCTACGTGCCCTTGTGCACAAGGTATTGTTGCTGTATTACTGAACAAGATGTAAAAAAAACCCCACTAAATAAAACTATCTTACAAAAGGAACTTGCCACACTCATTGCAAATGTTGGTCAATGTGGTCAATGTACTTTTAATAATATAGGTATTGCAGGAAAAGAGAGGGAATGAATACTGTCCTGCAGAAACTGATTTTCCTCTTGTTCCTTGCAAGCGAAGTATCTTAAAAGAAGTAAGAAAGAACCAGCTTTCAACGGGAAATCCACCACTCTTCACCAACATTTTGGACTAGTACCTGGAGGTTAATGCTGCAGCAGATCTAAGTATTTATACTTGCAGTCTAAATCAACAGTCACCAAACAACAAAACAAGCAGTGAGGTCTTTTCTAGCGTATGCATTCAAGAATCCCTGTTAAGGGATCTATTAAAAACAATGAAGAAAAGCCAGGTTATTGTTAGTTAATCACACAGGGAGACAGATCTTTGTGAGAAAACATTCTAGAACATGCAAATAATCAACACACTGGTAGATTATTTTGAAATATCATACCATAAAGGCATTAAATGGGATATTCAACATGAAGGGACACGTAACACATCTCCAGAGACCTCTGTAAAAGTACTACTAGTGAAACATGCAGGCACTAGAGACTGAAAGCAATGAAATAACAAGAGAGGAAATTAAGAAGGTACAGTATGAACAGCACATAACAAATAATAATGCTCCATGTTATCTGATACCAAGAAAAAAGATTCAGTGTTGCTCACTGAACACAATCCATGCCATCCTATGCTACATACTGAAAGCAATATCGTAGGAAAAAAGTGTAACATTTAGCCTATGTTTACAGGCCAAATGACACTTCTTACAAGAATCCCTAATCCTGGCATTTCATGATTTAGGAGAGCTTGATCTTCCAACTTCAAAGTTCTTTGAAGGTAGTTTTTGTTGCGTAATAGCAAAACATACAAGCAATTTCCCTAAAAAAACACACACTTCAGTTGAAGATTATATTCATCACATAAGAGATGCATATTAATGCAATCATACACAGTATGCATCACATACATTTGTTTTCCTTATTGTATTAGAAGCATATTCCATGACCAAACAGCAAGCTTTCAAATGAGTCTAGATAAAAATCCAGCCGCATTTTGCTTTGACACTAGCTCCCCCTCTAGACCAGCCTAAGATTATAGTAATTACTTTTTTATTTTAAATTCTGACTCTGCAACAGTATTTAAATACTCAGGTCCAAATCTTCTTCATCTTTATCCCCTTAAATGTCAATGAACAGACTGATCACATAATTTATACATAAAATAGTCATTTATTATTTTTTTCCTGTACATAAATACCCAGGCTTGGGAAAATCATTTGGTTTAGAACAGATCTGACAGATAAAGCAGCAATTCTGTACAGCTACAGACAGGAAAGCACCAAACTACAATTGTTCATATTAATCCTCTGAATGCTTTGCAACATTTGTAATACATAAACATTCCATTATACAATCAAGCCTCTGTTTGCAGTCCCAATGAAGTGATCATAAACCACAGATGACAAAACAAAATGAAGACCCTATGTGGTTTAGTACTACCTTTACTAATTCACTTAAGGTGAACTGGCTCCATTCCTACTCCAGCAAGTACAGCTCACATTTTTCTGGAACAAAGATCTTTTCAGTTGCTCAGGTAATGAAACAAAGACACAAGAGTGAAAGAACAAGAAGGCTACAAGCTCCAATCTGACCCTCTGCATTTCCCAGTTGTCAAATGCCCTAGCACCTACATCACTGAATGAGTGAATTTGCATGATTCAACACTTCAGGTTGATTTCTACCCTTCTCTCATTATTAATTATTCATATTTTCTGAGCAAGCAGTTTAATTATACTTCCAACACTGAAGAAAGATTGTCTCATTATGTGTTGTTGGGAAAATAAGTAAACTTTGAAATACACCGATCTATCAGCATAAGGTACGTACACATATGAATCACCAACAAGTACCAATAAGTATTTGGCAGTAAGCATACCCGTTAATAGCCAGCAAAACAGACATTACTGGAACTACATCAAAGCATAGTCACCAAATCCTAACAACCAGCTTTCTTTAATAATGGAAGGAATTGTAACAGAGCCTTTTGTAAAACCACCCCAAGCAGAAGCAGCACAGGCAGCTGGCCAGTTCTTTGCTTTTGCAGTTCAGACTTCTCTCAAGTTTTAGACCATTTACAGTGGAGAATGATTAGAAGAAAAAAAGATTAATACTTTAAAATAAAAAACCTGTTCATGCTTAAACAGTCCTTCTGTAGTACTTCATCCATTAGCTTTCAGTTAATGCCCAGACATTAACATACTAGCATATTTTAGCATAAAGGGAGTAGATACATAAACGTACACATGCATAGTGAAACACAGACATTCCAGCTGATGTGTAAGTTTCAGTATACACACAAAAAGGCTCTAAGTGTTAATACAAGATCTCAAAGTGAAGAATGCTCTGAACACATGGTTGTTTCCCACATCCAGTGGCTCACAGTGTACCATGTGTGCGTTGAGGACGCAAGGACAGCAGATACTGCCTCCCGGCAACTTGCAGTCTCTCAAGAAGTAATTTTTCAGCTGATGTCTATGCCCATAGGCTTTTTAGAACAACCTGCACCACGGCATTATAGTCTCTACCTACTCTTGCACCCCCAACCACAAGCTTCTGAAAGCACAGGGCACAGCCAGGTCTTTGGAGAGCGCCTAGAACACAGCAGAGACAGGCTCGCACACATGTATGGAAGACCTGACCATGCATTAAGCACAAACCTGACTGCAGGAAAAATCGCCGGAGCCTTATCAGTGACAAGATAAGTAACAAGAATCCAAGACCAAAGCAGTTAAACCTGCCGAAATACGGTAAAGGTGGCCGTGGGAAAAACCCCAGGCAGCACCCGGTGGCTCTGCACCCTTGCAAGACAAGCACTTCCTCAACCTCCCGGGCGGCCCGAGGGCGTAAGGTCCGTCCATCAAGCCCACGTTTCCCGTGTGCCTCTCCCTGCCAAACCCAGGCGTCCCCTCGGGCGGCCGCAGTTCCCGGGACAAGCAAAGTTGGAGGCCGTCCCCCGCGGCCGCGCTTTCAGTCGCAGGACCCCCGCTGCCCGCGCCGCTCTAGGGGCAACGCAGCTGCCCGGGGCTCTCCCGCACGCAGCAACGTCCTGGGCCCGGCCCGGCCCCGCTGCCCACGGTGATGCCCCAGCCGCCCGCCGAGTCCCGGCCTCCCGCTTCCCCCGCCGGGAGCAGAGCCCCCGCCGCGCTCCCCGGCCCCACCAGCGCCCCTCCGCCGGGAGTAGCCCACGGGCACCCCAGCAGACAGCGGGGAACCGGCGCCTTCCCCGCCACCATCACCCCGGCGGCGGCAGCGGTTGCTGAGCAGCGCCGGAGTCGCAACAGCGGCGGCGTCAGGCCCGGGAGAAGGGATGGGGAGCGCCTGCTTGGAGCAGCCCGGTCTCGGCTCCGTACCCTCTCCCCTGCCGCCGCGGCTCCCGCTCAGCCGCCCGCATCACCCCCTTACCCGAGTGCCGCTGGCGGGGCCCGCGCTGCCTTCGCCGAGGGTGCGGGGAGAGGCCGTGGCGAGCTGCGGGGTGCGGCGGGGGTGGGGGGGGTGTAGGAAGGATCGCGGGGGGCACCCCGCGGTGAGGAGACGGAAACGGGAACCGGCCGCGGCGGAACGGAGCCGCCGCCGGACTGTGAAGGGACCGGGCGCGAGACGCGGTACAGCGCGAGGAGACGCGGGCGGCGAGCGCGCGCCAGAGGCGAGGCGAGGCGAGGCGAGGCGAGGGCGGGGAGCGCAGCGCGCGAGCGGCGCTGACAGCGAGCAAACCCACGGAGCGCGCGCGCGCGTCCCCGCCGCCCAGGGAGCACTCGGAAGAGCGGCGCCTGCCCGGGAGCGCGCCTGCCGGGGTAAACCGGCCTATGAGAGAGCCCGGTGCTGCCGGCGGCGTGCTCGCGTCACAGAGGGATGGAGCGCGCGTGGCGCGCAGGCGCGGCGGGGACGTTCCCACCCTCACCCTCCGCACAAACACGCACGCGGGGGCTCGGGTACTGGTGCTGTTCTTCCCGTTTCCTTGCGTGGCCGTCACCCCGCAAACGGCTTCCCTCCTGTGAGGGGATCCGGGAAGGTGAGGTACCGGCAGCGGGCTGCAGGGCAGTCCTTAACCGGCGCTCAGGCCCGCCGGGGAGACATCTCCCCGGGGGGGGGAGATCCCGGTACTGGTGCGGCCGCAGCAGCCGGTCAGCGCACGGCGAGAGCTCGGAGGCGCTGCAGGAGCTCCCGCCAGGGCTGCTGTCCGCAACAGGCACTTGTTGTCTGCCTGCAGTGCTGTGGCGTCTTGCCCAAGGATGAAGCTCAACGTGGTTTGATTATTGGTTTTGACATAATGATCTCCACAAAGGGCAGGAATGTGACAGGATTTTGTGTTAAGAGAGTGGAAGTGCTCCGTGTGCTGGGTTAGGGCACGACACGGGGAAGGCCTGCTGTGCCTTGCTGACTGGCTTTAGCATGTTCTGCTTCTGTGGGGCATCAAAACGCATCCCTAAAGTACACATAAAACACATGTGAGCTCAGGGAGATGTAGGATTTCAGAGCATTTAAGGGAACTGTGATTTCCTAAGCATGCACATGGGAAAGCTGAACACGTCTTCAAAGTTCATAATGTGCCCAGGGAGTGTTTTGGTGTTCTTGGGAGATTCGGTGGCCACAATGGGAAGGCAGCAAGTGCAGTGGGAATCACAGTAGGAGTAAGCTGTGATTTGTGTAAAAGGCAGAGCTGGTAAGGATAGATTTTTTTTGTAACCATCACATCGTTTTCACACCCTCTACCAGTGTTAGAATTCTGATATAGGCTGTCCTGCAGCATATCAGTGCTCTGCCATGTACTTGTTCACACTTATCTTCTCTAGCTTGTTCCACAAACCCTGTTGTTTTTTTCTCTCTTTTCGTTTTTCCTTCCCAGAACTAGTAAACATTTACAAATGTGCTTATAAGGTCTGTGGAAGTTTCTCTTGGTTTTCCTCTTTTGACATCATACATTATGGGTCAGCTGCCTGCTAACACGGAGCTTAGGGCACTGTCTAGGGGACACAGAGAGTTATAATATTCTGTGCCCATAGCAACCTTCTAGAGAGATCTGGAAATGCAAACATAATTAATATATCTGTTTTCCCTAAGGTTTTAATTTCCAGCTGACAACACTAGAGATTAGTTTACAAATTGAAATCGTAAGCACATTGCCAATGGCTGCTAGGTATTGAGTTGCTGCTGCTAGCCCCTATTACTGCGGTAGTTACAAGTATTACTAATAATTATATTAAGATAATGCCTACAAATTTAGCCAGGGATCTGGCTTCCAAAGCGTATTGGGTTAGGTACAATGTTGACACTGGTAAAAGAACAAAATTACTGTTTCAAAAGAGCTTAGATACATTTTCCATTTGTGGTGGAGATCCCCTAGGGAACTCTTGCTCAGGCATGCATAAGAAAAACTATCATTAATAATCTTACACTTGGTATCCTACCATCCCTTCATAAAAAAAAAAAAATCATCCCAAAACAAACCCAAAAACCAGTGCTACAAATCCAAACATTTAAAAAGTCTAAATATATGCAAAAAAAGGCCAAAAGTGCATGAAGTGCAGGTATGGGAAGGAAACTTCATCCATGGAAACACTCAAGGTTGGACGGGACTCTGAGCAACCTGATCTAGTGGAATTTTTACCTACTCATTGCAGAGCGTTGGACTTGACCTTTAGATGTCTCTTCCAACCCAAATCATTCTATGCTTCTAAGCTGCTTCAAGATGATCCAGAAACTGAGGCACAGTTTTCCAAATGACAAGGGCAACTGCATGTTGCGTTTGCTTGGAGGATCTCATGTAAAGAAAGATCCCAAAAGAAAACAAAATTGTCCAGGGAGCTTCTCCTGGTAGGTCTTCCCTGTCTAGTGAGAAAATAAAGTTTTATAGACATAAATCCAGCTACTGACCCACAAAATATTAGGGTACTTCCAATACAAACAGTTCTGAGATACTGTGTCCACAAACTGAGCAAAAAGCAGGGCTTAAATAAACGAGCTGTTTCATTAATATGCATGTGGTGATTTCAGTTGTACTTACTATGGTGTGAAATTAAATTCATTTCAAGTGATTGCTTAATGCAATGAGCGTACTACTGCTGGCTTATTTGCTTTCAAGTCCATGATATTCTGTGCTTTAGGCATATTATCTTAAATCAAGGAAAACAATATAGTAATAGGGCTGACCCAGTATCCACTGGAGATACCAATGGATGAAATGTGATCAATCTGCACATAACTTGTACAGTTATAGGTTATTTTTATTTGTATTCTAGTTCTAACTGTGCTATAGCAGTACCTGCTATCGGCCTCATTTTTATTTTGAGGAACTGGTGACCTGAGCAGTGCTAAACCATGATATAATGGGAATAAGAAAATTAAATGACTAGTGAGAGAGATGAAAAGCTACTGAGGGGAGTGCTCTTACAGAGTGCTAACTTTTTCTGCATGCTAAATGCAGCAGGTATATACCTTTAGAAGTACATTTCCCAAACCAGACTAAAAGGCCAGTAGCTAATTATTTCTTTTTCCACCTCAAAAAGCTCATTTTTAAGTGTAGAACCTCACTTGTGACTACAACAACTCCTTCATCGGGTGACCAAAGGTCAGAGCCCTGGTTTGTGGATGCTCTAAGACCACTGGGAAGGGAAATTTACACTAGACCATAGGACACTCACTCCTATGATTAGGAAACAAATTATGTTAAAGAATTCTGCAGTTTTAAGGTGGAGGCTTCTAGTTCCAATTGTCCAGTGTACGTTTTCTCATGCTTAATCTCACAAGCCTAATGAATCGCTTTTAACTGATGCAAACCAATCTGCTGAAGTCAGGTGATTCCTTCCATTTGGCAAGAAGGTGGTAGCACTTTTACATAGCAGGTGGAATCTCAGCAGGGCAACTCTAGTTGCACTTTAATGAGACATCCTGACACCTGTCTCAGAAGTTACTCTAAGTAGCAAAATGAGTTAAAATGAAAAGTAAAGGTATTTTAACTCTGCCTCCAAATGAGTGCATACTGGAGTCCACATTTAACCCTCACAGGAAACAAAACTCTGCTTTTGTGCCCTTTTTGTTTCTCTGTGCAATGCTAGCTCTCTCCTGTTCTTCATTAGCTCCAAACCCAGTGTCATGAAGAAGTCTTAATGGATACCACCAACTCCTATAAAAATAGTTGATTTCTTCAATCCAGTCAGGAAAGCTGTATGCTTTTATCTGCAGAAAAGCAACCAGAACATAAGAATTAAAGTATGTCGTGAGGGTTAAAGGGAAATGAATCCACAACCAGCAGGGAGATTACAGAAACTGCCAATGTTAAATACAACTTTTTTTACATATGCCTAAGAACATTACCAATTACTTAATATAAAATCAAATTTCTCAAATTCTAAAGGATGTTTTAAAGGATCCATCAAATTTTTCCTTTCTGGCCCTCAGAGTTTTTTCTGCTTTTTTCTGAAAGTTTAAAATCTGATCTTGCATTTGTTAAGTCTCAGTTTCAGGTAAAACTTAGTTTCAAATAATTGAAATAAAAACCCAAATATGAGTCCGTAATATTATAAGAAACTTCTTAAGACATTTTGACCAAGTCTTAAGTCTGTGTCCACTAAAGAGTATCACCAAAACCTGTATTTTCCATTTTCCAGGAAATGCTATGTGTACAGGCAGTCATTGTAAGTGCAGTACAAGGTAATGGTTTCCTCTCTGTAGATAAAAGAAAAGTAAAAAACCTGAATTACTGAGAGGTATTGCTTTTACAAGATGTACGATAGTGCTTCAGCATAGCACACAGAAGTACTTGCAGCTGCAAAGCAACCCAACACACTTTTCTGTCCTGTTTATTAAAACACTTTCAGTTTCCAGCTTAAAGCAGGTGAAACCATAACAAACATTGCACAAGGGCTGTTTATCTGTACCCAAAGCATTTGAATAAAGTGTTTATATAAATCAGTGTAAACCCAGTCTTCCTTGACACTTCCACTTTTACAACGCTTCACTTTGAAACCTGACTGGGTTTGATGTGGCGTACCATTCTGATTCTGTCCACATACTGGTTTTATAGCAAGCAAAGACTTAAAGGTCAAAAGGAGTGAAGTTCAAATACTATTAAAATGAGCTGGGCAGGTCACATAATCAAAAAATCTCACTGTGGATGTTCAATAAAAGACAGAGGTTCCTGTGGTTATGGGGAAAATATTGCTGCACAGTGGTATCTGTTCTGGGTGAATGAAGCAGGGACAGCTTCACCATCACAGCAGCAGTTATGCATCTCAGCAGAACAGAGGTGCTGCATTCCTAATATTGGAAAGGCAGCACTGCAAATGCAAAGACAAAAGGATCCTTTCCATGCATGTATTTTAAACTCCAGCTGCAAGTAGCACAGCTATGTAAACACAATCACTTGTCCCTGCAGATTGGTAAATAAAATACAAATTATCCTAAAAGTATGTTTGGAATCATCCAAATAGATGCACAGTAAAAAACTGCCTCAGGATTACAATCTAACAATGCAACGTGCATTACAAGCTGGGCTAGCTACAGCGCGGACACTGCCACCTGAAGTCGGCCAAGCACTTCCCACATTAAGATCCCATTTCAGCAGCTCCTATTGGAAATACTCGATTTAGAATCATAGAATCATAGAATAGTTCAGATTGGAAGGGACCTTCAAAGATCACCTAGTCC